ACCATTCTCTTTAAACTTATTCCAGTCAGGCTTTCATCCCCACCATTTCATCACAACTGCTCTTGTCTAAGGTTACCAATGAACTCGCATCACTAAATCCAGTGGTCAGTTATTCTTTTTTTCACATAACAGCTTTGAGAGATAATTCACATGAATAAAATTCACTCATTTGAAGTGAAGCGTACGATTTAATGATTTTTAGGATATTCACAAATATGTGCAAACACCAGCACTGTCAATTAGAACATTTCCATCAGAATGGTTGATTCTTTCTTTCTTTCTTTCTTTTTTTTTTTTTTTTGATACAGAGCCTTGCTCTGTTGCCCAGGCTGTGGTGCAATGGCACCATCTTGGCTTACTGCAACCTCTGCCTCCTGGGTTCAAGGGATTTTCCTGCCTTAGCCTCCCAAGTAGCTGGGATTACAGGTGCGTGCCACCACGCCCAGCTAATTTTTTTTTTTTTTTTTTTTTTTTTTCAGTAGAGACAGGGTTTCACCATGTTGGTCAGGCTAGTTTCGAACTCCTAACCTCATGGTCCACCCACCTTGGCCTCCCAAAGTGCCATTATAGGCGTGAGCCACTGCACCCAGCCTCAGTCAATTCTTAATCTTCATTATATTTGACCTATAGACAGAATTTAATGTAGTTGATCACTCCCTTCTCCTTGAAACGTTTTCTTCCCTTGGCTTTCAAGATGTCATACTCTTTTTTTTGTTTGTTTTTTTGAGATGGAGTCTCGCTCCATTGCCCAGGCTGGAGTGCAGTGGCACAATGTCGGCTCACTGCAACCTCTGCTTCCCGGGTTCAAGTGATTCTCCTGCCTCAGCCTCCCAAGTAACTGGGACTACAGGCATGTCTGGCTAACTTGTGTGTGTGTGTGTGTGTGTGTGTGTGTGTGTGTGTGTGTGTGTGTTTAGTAGAGATGGGTTTTTATCATGTTAGTCAGGATGATCTCTATCTCCTGACCTTGTGATCCGCCTGCCTTAACCTCCCAAAGTGCTGGGATTATAGGCGTGAGCCACTGAGCCAGGCTTTTTTTTTCTTTTTGAGACGGAGTCTCATTCTATCGCCTAGGCTGGAGTGCAGTGGCGATCTTGGCTTACTGCAACCTCTACCTTCCAGGTTCAATAGATTGTCTTGCCTCAGCCTCCCGAGTAGCTGAGACTAAGGTGCCTGCCACTATGCCTGGCTAATTTTTTTTTTTTTTTTTTTTTTTTTTTTTTTGAGACGGAGTCTTGCTCTCTCACCAGGCTGGAGTGTGATGATGTGATCTCAGCTTACTGCAATCTTCGCCTCCTGGGTTTAAGCAATTCCTGTGCATTAGCCTTCCGAGTAGCTGGGACTACTGGTGCGCACCACCACGCCCGTCTAATTTTTTTTTGTATTTTAGTAGAGATGGGTTTTCACCATGTTGGCCAGGATAGTCTCCATTTCCCAACTTCTTGATCCGCCTGCCTCGGCCTCCCAAAGTGCTGGGATTACTGGTGTGAGCCACCGTGCCCTGCCTTGAGACTGAGTTTCACTGTTGTTGCCCAGGCTGGAGTGCAATGGCGTGATTTTGACTCACCGAAACCTGCCTCATGGGTTCAAGCAGTTCTCCTGCCTCAGCCTCCCAAGTAGCTGGGATTACAGGTATGTACCATCATGTCCAGCTAATTTTGTATTTTTAGTAGAGACAGGGTTTCTCCATGTTGGTCAGGCTGGTCTGGAACTCCTGACCTCAAATGATCTGCCCCCCTCGGCCTCCCAAAGTACTGGGATGACAGGTGTGAGCCACCGCACCTGGCCTCAGGATGGTCACACTCTTAATTTTCCTCCTTTCTCACTGGTCATCTCCTCTCAATTGACTTCGCTTTTCTCTCCGCTGACCTCTTTCTAGAGATTGGAGTGCCCCAGGATGATAATCCTTTAGGGTCTTCTCTATCTTCCTGAGTGATCTCATCCAGCCTTATGGCTTTAAATAACCTCCATATGTTTGTTTGTTTATTTTGAGACAGAGTTTCACTCTGTCGAGACTCCCAGACTGGAGTGCAGTGGTGCAATCAATCTGGGTTCACTGCAACCTCTGCCTCCTGGGTTCAGGAGATTCTCCTCCTTCAGCCTTGTGAGTGAGTAGCTGGGATTACAGGCACCCACCACCACATCTGGCTAATTTTTGTTTTGTGTTTGTTGTTGTTGTTGTTTTTTGAGACAGAATTTCACTCTTGTCACCCAGGCTGGAATGCAATGGCACAACCTTGGCTCACTGAAGCCTCTGCCTCCTAGGTTTAAGCAATTCTCCTCTCTCAGCCTCCTGAGTAGCTGGGATTACAGACATCTGCCACCATGTCTGGCTAATTTTTGTATGTTTAGTAGAGATGGGTTTCACCATGTTGGACCAGTCTCATCTCCAACTTGTGACCTCAAATGATCCTCTCGCCTCGGCTTCCCAAAGTGCTTGGATTACAGGCCTGAGCCACCGTGCCAGAGCTCATATGTTTTATAACTACCAAGTTTATATCTCTAGCCCAGATAGCTTTGACCAACTCCAAACTTGTATATGTATAATAAAAAACCGCCTGCTTTATACCCACCCCCATGGGAATTTTTTTATTTTTTGAAACAGGGTCTCATCTCACTCTGTCACCAAAGCTGGAGTGCAGTGGTCAGTGGCAAAATCATGGCTCACTGCAGCCTCGACCTCCCAGGTTTAAGTGATTTTCTTCCTCAGCCTCCTGAATAGCTGGGACCATGGGCATGTACCACCATGACCAGCTAATTTTTCATTTTTTGTAGTGATGAGGTCTCACTATGTTGCCCAGGCTGATCTCAAACTCCTGGACTAAAGTGATCCACCCTCCTCAGCCTCTGAAAGTGTTGAGATTACAGGCATGAGCCACTACATCTGGCCTCAGTGTGGATTCATATAAACAACCCAACATGTTGAGGACTAAGCCTGCTCCACCACAGTCTTTCCTACTTCAGTTGATGGCAGTTTCATCCCTCTATTATATTTGTTCTGGCCAAAAATCCTAGAGTTATCCTTGTCATTTCTCTCTCATATGCCACATTCAATCCGTTAAGATATCCTGTTGGCTCTACTGATATAGCCAGAACCTTATATACTTCTCCCACCTTGTCCAAAAGGCCACCATCTCTAGCTTGGATTACTGAAATAGCCTCATAACAGATCATACTGCTTTTATTCTGTCCTTCTACAATCTATTCTCAACACAGCAACCATAGTAACTCTTAAAATAGAAGTGACCTCCACTAGGTCACTTGAATGAATGAGAAATGTTAATTATAATACCTACAGTAGAAAATTATTGTAGGCCAGGAGAAATCACTCACGCCTGTAATCCCAGCACTTTGGGAGGCCGAGGTGGGTGGATCACCTGGGTCAGGAGTTCAAGACCACCCTGGCTAACATAGTGAAAGCCCATCTCTACTAAAACTATAAAAATCAGTCGGGTGTGGTGGCACACACCTGTGGTCCCAGCTACTCGGGAGTCTGAGGCAGAAGAATTGCTTGAACCCTGGAGGCGGAGGTTGCAGTGAGCTGAGATTGCATCACTGTACTCCAGCCGGGGTGACAGAGTGACACTCTGTCTCAAAAAAAAAAAAAAAAGAAAAGAAAAGAAAAAAGTTATTGTAGGGATTAAATAACTGGCAAAGATCCTGATACAGAATGGATACTGAACAAATGTTAGATCCTTACCATCCTTCTTCCTTCTCCCTTCTCCAAATATCCTCCCACTTGCCTGTTCTTGCACCACTGCTCCCTCCTTCCTCTCTGAAATTTTTACCATTCTAGTCTCTCCTTTGAGTTTAAATCTAGGGAAATCCTACAAGGGCCACAGATGTCCTCTGAAAAGAAAGCCTGGGAAATATTTTCCTTCTTTTTCTGTTTTTGAGACAGGATCTCTCTGTTGCTCAGGCTGGAGTGCAGTGGCAAAAACATGGCTCACTGCAGCCTCAAACTCCTGGACTCAAGTGATCCTCCTGTCTCAGCCTCCTGAGTAGCTGGGACTTCAGGCATGCACTGCCATGCCCAGCTAAGAGGTCAGCTATATCCATTACCACAACTGTTTATCAAATTAGGATATTGTCACAGAGAAACAGAGCACAGATTTTAAAGTTCAGATTTATTGGCTGGGTTCGGTGGCTCATGCCTGTAATCCCAGCACTTTGGGAGGCCGAGAAGGGTGGATAACAAGGTCAGGAGTTCAAGACCAGCCTCGTCAACATGATGAAATCCTGTCTCGAGCTGGGCACAGTGGCTCACATCTGTAATCTCAGCACTTTGGGAGGCCTAGGCGGGCAGATCACCTGAGGTTGGGAGTTCGAGACCAGCCTGACCAATATGGTGAAACCCTGTCTCCAAAAAAATAAATTTTTAAAAATTAAAAAAAAAAAATCCTGTCTCTACTAAAAATACAAGAAGTTAGCTGGATGTGATGGTGGATGCCTGCATCCCAGCTACTCAGGAGGCTGAGGCAGGAGAATTGCTTGAACCCAGGAGGCGGAGGTTGTAGTGAGCTGAGATCACACCATGCATTCCAGCCTGGGTGACAGAGCGAGACTCTGCCTCAAAAACAAACAAAAAAACCCCACTTTATTGAAGTGTAATTTACATGCAAATTTTATGTGTTTTCTTTGATGAGTTTTGACAAATGTTTGGGTAATTTTATTTGTGTTGGAGGGCAGTAATGTCTCCTAGGATTATGCAGGTCCAGACATTTAACAGAGGGATCCTGGTTAGGAAACAGGACAACATCAGTGCTCTGGGAAACATAATCAAACAGGAACAAGTGGAGACACCATGGGCTGGCCCGAGGTTAGTCCTGGATCTCACTGCACCAGGATCTGGCCCTCTGGAATGCCTGGCGACTTCATGGCAGCTTCCAGCACTCCTCAGGGAGCGGTCTCACCACTCTGACGTGTGTTTAGGCCACGAGGTGAGAGCTAGGACTGGGTTCTGGCTCTCCGCCCGGCAACATTCCTGCTACTACCCACGCCCGTACCCCTGCCCAACAATAGGTGGCGCTCCAGTCAGTGATAGCCAACTTCCACCGGAGCCACCACAACCGCACGGCGCGATTGCCTCTCCAGCCTGTTAGAAACCGGTTTCAGATCCGCGGTAGAACCGCTGGCGGGAAAAAGTCAAAGCGCTGTCTAGGGTTCCCCTTCGGGTCCGCCCATCCTCTGGTCTCCCTGGTCTCCCAGGCTCGGGGCTGACTAGGGGCGGACAGCTGAGCCCGCCTACCAACCAGGCCCTTTCTCCCGCCCCTCTGCAGCCGAAACCCTCAAGGGGTTGCAGGTTCAGCTTTGACTTACAGAGACTGCAACCCCAAATTCAGGGTCGCCGGGAAAACTGAGGCAGGACTGAGGACTCTGGGTGAGAGGTCAGGCGCTGGTCGTGGACTCTTTCTTCCGAGAGCTGAGACGGCTCTTCTGACAGCCCAAAGCGATTAATGCCGATCCTAGAAGAAAGCGCCGAGGTCCGGGAGGTAGGTCCGGGCGGCTGGCCAGGGAGAGCGGCTGGGAAACCTCCGGGTGGCGCTGGCTGGAGGTGGGGCCGCCCACGCGGCTGGGAAACCTCAGGGTGGTGCTGGCTGGAGGTGGGGCCGGGGGCGGGTTCCTGGCGGAGGGCGGGGCAGACGTGGGCTACCGGGTGTGCCAGCCAAGCCCGGCACAGAGGAGGAGGTGGTGGTGGCCCTCGCCTGTGGCCCCGGTGCTGCTTGCGCTCGAACTCGCCGCCATGGAGGAGTTCCAGGAGCCTCTGAGGGGGCAGCTCCGGCTCTGCTTCTCGCCTGCTGCCCGGACCAGCCTCTTACTGCTCAGGCTCAACGACGCTGCGCTGCGGGCGCTGCAAGAGTGTCAGCGGCAACAGGTACGGCCGATCCCCTTCTTCTCTAGTCCCTGCCTCTGGGGACTTTGGGCCTCAGCCGGCGGCACTGGAGAAGGTGCAGGGGAGAGAGAGCGGCGTCCGCAAACTCTGGCCTCCCCAGCTCTCCAAGTGAAGCCCGCTAGGCAGGTGACCCGGGCTTCGGACCCCGGATCCCGGGGACACTGCTTAACCTGACCTCAGTAGTCACATCTTCGCCCTCCCCGCAGGTACGGCCGCTGATTGCTTTCCAAGGCCACCGAGGGGTAAGTGCTGGCCCAGGAGGGTGTGTGAGCGAGGTGGGGGAGGTGGGCTGGAGGTGAAACGTGTGGTCGGGGCCGGAGGCTGCGAGTGGTAGTCTGAGGTAGTTCCGAGAACTAAACCCCAAGTGGGGCGAGGAGGCTGCTGGGGTTGTCCCAGGGGGCTGTGGTTGAGGAGACTGTGCTGTTTTAGCCTCCTGGGGAACTCAGGCCCAGCTGCACCTGGTGTGCTAACGAGCCCCGTGGGACCCGTTCTTAGTCTTAGGCCGGCTCCGGGACGAGAGGCGGCGGCAGGAGGGGGAGGGGCTGACTTCATGGTGCTTACCGTCTCCTTCCACCTCCAGTATCTGAGGCTCCCAGGCCCTGGCTGTTCCTGCCTCTTCTCTTTCATAGTGTCCCAGTGTGGCCAAGAGGGCGCTAGTGGTAGCTTGGACCTTGTGTGCCAACGCTTGGTCAGGTAAGGGGGAACAATAGGTAGCAGGCAAGAAGAGGTTTGTGGAAAGTGGGGGAGGGAAATGTGGAGAGGTGCTTAAAAGCTCACTACCCTCCTGTTTTTTTTCCACCATCCCTTTCCAGGTCTGGGCCTAACCGCCTTCACTGCCTGGGCTCACTCAGGGAGCGCCTCACTATTTGGACAGCCATGGATTCTATCCCAGCCCCATCATCAGTTCAGGGACACAACCTGACTGAAGATGCCAGACATCCTGACAGCTGGCAGAACACAGGAGACTGTTCTGGAGATGCAATATCACAGCCACAGATGGCTCTAGAGGAGGTAAGGCCAGAAACTGCAGGGAGTTGTGAGAAGGTGGGGCAAAGCCTGAAGTCCAAGGTATCCCAGTACTCCAGGGAACCAAGTGTTCCTGTCACTTTCCCCACCAGGTGTCTATGTCAGATCCACTGGCAAGCAACCAAGGACAGTCACTCCCAGGATCCTCAAGGGAGCACATGGCACAGTGGGAAGTGAGGTACTTGGGATGGGGTGGAACTAACATGGGAAATTTTAGCATTGTCTTCCTTTCTAATCTCCACTCAAATGTTATCTAATAAAAGATCCTGTTCCACCTCCCACCCTGGTTTTCTTCTATCCCATTCCCCTTAAATATCCTAGAAACCAGACCTATCTTCCAAACAGAGAACCTGATCAGGCACTGCCTTCCTCTGCCAGCCGGAAACGTCTGGAGAAGGTAAGTTATAATGGCAAGGGCTTTTCTTTTCTTTTTTTTTTTGAGACGGAGTCTTGTTCTGTCACCAGGCTGGAGTGCAGTGGTGCGATCTTGGCTCACTGCAACCTCTGCCTCCCAGGTTCAAGCGATTCTCCTGCATCAGCCTCCTGAGTAGCTGGGACTACAGGTGCTTTCAGTATACCCAGCTAATTTGTTTATTTTTAGTAGAGACAGGATTTCACCATGTTGGCCAGGATAGTCTCAATTTCTTGACCTTAGGATCCGCCCACCTTGGCCTCCCGAAGTGCTGGGATTACAGGAGTGAGCCACCATACCTGGCTCTAGCTTTTCTTTTTTTTTTTTTTTTAACACTGCTATAATAATGGCAAGGACTATTTTGAAGAGCAGTTTTAGTCAAGCTAAAATTTAGAAATTGGAAGCTCCTTATATGGGAAGAATTTTTTTTTTTCTAGACAGAGTCTCACTCTGTTTTCAGGTTGGAGTGCAGTGGCACAATCTCGGCTCACTGCAACCTCTGCCTCCAGGTTCAAATGGTTCTCCTGCCTCAGGCTCCCAAGTAGCTGGGATTACAGGCACATGCCACCATGCCCAGCTCATTTCTGTATTTTTTGTTTTTTTGAGACAGGGTTTCAATGTGTTGGCCAGGATGCTCCCGATCTCCTGACCTCATGATCCGCCTGCCTCAGCCTCCCAAAGTGCTGGGATTACAGGTGTCAGCCACCGCACCTGGTCTAATTTCTGTATTTTTAGTAGAGACCGGGTTTCACCATGTTGGTCAGGATGGTCTTGATTTCTTCACCTTGTGATCTGCCCACCTTAGCCTCCTAAAGTGCTAGGACTACAGGTTTGAGCCACTGCACTGGCTATGGGAGGAATTTTTTTTTTTGAGACGGAGTTTCGCTCTCGTTACCCAGGCTGGAGTGCAATGGAACGATCTCGGCTCACCGCAACCTCCGCCTCCTGGGATCAGGCAATTCTTCTGCCTCAGCCTCCTGAGTAGCTGGGATTACAGGCATGTGCCACCATGCCCAGCTAATTTTTTGTATTTTTAGTAGAGATGGGGTTTCACCATGTTGACCAGGATGGTCTCGATTTCTTGACCTCATGATCCACCTGCCTCGGCCTCCCAAAGTGCTGGGAGGGAGGAATTTTTTTAGAGAAAGCTCTCTCTGTTCCCCAGGCTGGAGACTCCTGGGCTCAAGCCATCCTATATAGATTTTTTTGTTCTTAAGACAGTCTCACTCTGTCACGCAGGATGGAGTGGTGTGGTGTGATCACGACTCACCAGTGTTGAACTCCTGGGCTCAAGTGATTCTCCCTCTTCAGCTGGTGTGTGCCACTACATAAGGCTAATTGTTTTATTTTTTTGTAGAGACAGGGTCTCACTGTATTACCTAGTCTTGAAATTTTGGGCTCAATCGATCCCCCAAACTCAGCCTCTGAAAGGGTTGGGATTACAGGTCTTAGCCACTGTGCCCAGCCTAGGAGGAATTTTGGAAAGGATGTATTTGGAAGCGCTTGGCTGTTTATGTCACAGATATTTTTCTCAACAGAAACGTTCAATGCCTGTAGCCACTGTAGAACTAGAAGAAAAGAGGTTCAGAACTCTACCTCTAGTGCCAAATCCCCTACAAGGCCAGAGCCATCAGGATTTACAAGAGGGAGAAGACTGGGAGCAAGATGATAAAGATAAGGACATGGACCCCAGATTAGAAGACAGTTCCTCAGTTCAGGAAGGTGAGTTAATGAGAGGAGGCTAAAAATGCCAGTGGAAAGACTTATAATCACTTGTGTTTTCTTGCTTCCTTCCTAGCCTCTGGATCCCCAAGTCCTCAAGATGTACCAGACTACCTTCTGTGAGTTCCGTGCTTTTTCTAATTTCATCAAGCCTTGTGCATATGTTAAGATACACTTCCTGGAAGCTGGGAGATTTTCTGGGGCAATGAAATTGAAGGTGACACCTCTCTTCTCCTGGCAGGCAATACAGGGCCATCCACAGTGCAGAACAGCAACATGTCTATGAGCAGGAATTTGAAACAGATTATGCTGAATACCGCATCCTGCATGCCCGTGTTGGTGCTGCAAGCCAAAGGTTCATAGAGCTGGGAGCAGAGATTAAGAGAGTTCAGCAAGGAACTCCGGAACACAAGGTAAGGACAGGACCCAGCCTGGCTTTTCAGCTCTACTGGCCATTAACCCATTAACCACCCATATGCCTGGGTTTGTACTAAGCAAAGTGACAAGAAAACCTGTTTGAGGGGAAAATTAGTCTGTTATCATTTGTTAGAATGAGAAGGGAAGTTACTTCCCCCTAACTTTTTTTTTGAGACAGTCTAGCTCTGTCACTGAGGCTTGTGTGCAGTGGCACGAGCTCAGCTTACTACAACCTCCATCTCCTAGGCTAAAACTATTCTCATGCTTTCCAAATAGCTGAGATTATAGGTAAGTGCCACCATGCTGAGGTAGTTTTTTTTATTTTTAGTAGAGACGAGGTTTTACCCTGTTGGCCAGGGTGGTCTTGAACTCCTGACCTCGAGTAATCCACCTACCTCAGCCTCCCAAAGTTCTGGGATTATAGGTATGGACCACTGTACCCAGCCCCTTTCTTATTTCTTTTTTTTTTTTTTTTTTTTTTTGAGACGGAGTTTCGCCCTTGTTACCCAGGCTGGAGTGCAATGGCGTGATCTCGGCTCACCGCAACCTCCGCCTCCTGGGGTCAGGCAATTCTCCTGCCTCAGCCTCCTGAGTAGCTGGGATTACAGGCATGTGCCATCATGCCCAGCTAATTTTTTGCACTTTTAGTAGAGACGGGGTTTCACCATGTTGACCAGGATGGTCTCGATCTCTCGACCTCGTGATCCACCCGCCTCGGCCTCCCAAAGTGCTGGGATTACAGGCTTGAGCCACCGCGCCCGGCGCCTTATTTCTTAATGTTAAATTCAGTGCTAGTATTTTCTGTTTCAGGTGCTGGAAGACAAGATAGTCCAGGAATATAAAAAGTTCAGGAAGGTAAGACAAGATCTGGGAACGAAAGAACGAAGGCAGAAATGAGGATTTTTACTTTTTGACATGGATGCCTTTTCTCCGCAGCGGTACCCAGGTTACAGAGAAGAAAAGCGTCGTTGTGAGTACCTTCACCAGAAATTGTCCCACATTAAAGGTCTCATCCTGGAGTTTGAGGAAAAGAACAGGGGCAGCTGAAGTTATCAAGAGGGCTCTTGACCCTCTGCTTAGTGAAACATGAAGGAACAAAGCAGCTATAAACTAAGTAGAATGCAGCTATCTGTTTTTCTTATGCTGACCACTGGAGTCCAGGTGGCAAGTGGAGAGTTGCTCTAGGTTCTTGAGGTTTGGTTTTCATTGTTGCTAATTTTTAGGGTGTAGGCACTGTGCAAAGACTCCATAGCTGTTGTGCTCAGGAGTCTAGAAAAAGTGAGAGAAGCTTGGCTTCTTCACTTTTAGTTCAGCCAAGTCATTTTCAAGTCCTGAGAAACGACATCATCTTCAGGATAAGATAATGAGGACATTAGACAAATTAATTTAGCCCAGTAGCCACTCTAAGGAAATAATGATAACTTTTGCTAAGAGCTACAGTAATTTGTAGCATACCTGGATATAATGGGAAGGGGCCTGGGTCTTACCCATGTACTGAATTTTTTTTACCAACATGGCTAAAAAATTAAAACTGATTGCTTCTGTGTTCTTTGTACAAGTTTATATATTTTCCTTAAATCTTCCAAGGCAGTTGGTCCTTAACCCTGGCTTTACATCTGAGCCACTTTTGGGCTATGTAAATAATTAGATCTCCGTGCCCCAGCCCAGATGTTATGAGTTAAAATCTCGAAGATTATGGTTTAGACATCTTTTACTTTTTCCAAGCTCTGTGTGTGACCAAGGTATCTATTTTGCTATAAGGCTCTACCAAATTCATCTTAAAACCGACAGCTAAATATTCTAATTATATAGTAGGAAGAAAGTTCTTTTCTGAACATAGAGGTGTTTGTAGGATCACCTAAAGTAAGGCTTCTATCTGGAATTATCCAGTGGCTGAAAACAGTAACTGGGCAGGATTTGAGTTTACCTGCAAAAGGAGAGAAATAGTTTATTTGGACAAAAGATCACTCTCCAATCCTATCCTTTCTGTTCCTTATTGTTACAAAGGAAAGTGGATGCTTCACTCTTAATTAGGAATGTTACTGCCTTTCCCAGTTCTACTGGAGAGGGAAATTAAAGGGCCACACCTTAGGCTTTGGAGGGTAGAGCTGCACCCAGCAGTGTCAGCAATTCCCGAAACAACTTGGATGGAACCCTGTGATGCCACGCCCATAACAGGATATTTCTGGGCAGAGAACAGTCCTTGGGAGGTATAAACATGCAGTAAGCTCAGCTGCACAGCAAGGATAAACAGTAACCCATCCTTAGGGCATGGACAGCCTAACAAGTAAGGCCCGTTACCTGTTCTAAACACCAGGGTAGGCCTGGGCAATAAATATGTAAGGAGAGAAAGAGATGATACATTTGGAAAGAATTTTGAGTTGATTAATTATGGACCCAGTCAAATCAGTCTACAGCTGCAGTGACCAGTACAGTAGCAACTGTATGGCTATTTAAGTTAATGAAAACTAAAAATGGGCTGGGTGCGGTGGCTTATGCCTGTAATCCCAGCACTTTGGGAGGCTGAGGCAGGCGGATCACGATATCAACAATTCGAGACCAGCCTGACCAACATGGTGAAACCTCATCTCTAAAAAAATATATAAAAAATTTAAAAATGTAGTTTCTAGCAATATTTCAGATGCTCCGTAGCTACCATTGAACAGTGTAGATAACAGAACATTTCCATCACTAAAGAAAGCTCTATTGGAGTGATAGTGTGTAGAGAACCTCTGGTTCTCAATCTTGTGGAAAATAAGACAGTTTAAAGGGGTCTCATTTATTGTCACTGTTCCAAATGTACAAAAAAAATTAGAAAATACCCCCCAACTCAATTCCCCCCACCCCACAACATTCCCCTCAACACAAATAATTTTTCCCAAAACCACAAACATAAACTGGTCCTGGTGTTTCCATAAACAGTGCAGCTAAGAAACAGTTTAGAGAAAATTTAACAGGATTCGGATTATATCCATTCTGTCCTCTCAGCCCTGAGAGGTAATAATTCCCATATGGGTCCCAGTCCTCCCCAATGGTTTTCCTATCTCTGGTGGAAGAGTCCTTTTACAAAGTGGTGTTTGGCTACTGCTTTAGAGATCCTCCTGTGCCTTCTTCTTCTTCTTGGGCTTTTCTTCTTGAATTACAGGGGGGTTTGTAGCTTCTCGTTGTAAATAGCTAATAAAATCACTTAATTCACGGCCACCCTGAAAACAGAAAGATTACCTTAAAAATGTAACTTTTTAAAGAACCCCAATCTGCCTCACTCAAACAGGAAGACTTGAGTTTGTAAAAGCACATTAGTACCCACCTATACTCACCATGAGAGTTTACAGAGTTTTCAGTTAAATAAACCCAATTAAAGAACTATGCTTAAGAGTGTGTGTTTATGTCATGTGTATGTTTGTGGGGATATGGGACAATTCACTTACTTCGTATTTCTTTGGATTTAGCTTCTTGTTGGCTGGAGAGAAGTATATGGTAGGAAAACTGGGGAAAGAAACATTTATTAATTTCAAGGAGTCACATGGGGCCATGCTGCTTTTGCCTTCAACTGGAATATGAAGTCCTCCCCTAAAACCATGTCTTGTAAATAAATAGTTTCCTGGTGGTTACAGGCTTTATTCCTATCAATTGCCTGGATATGTTTGTTAATTTTTAATCCACTTACCCTCTAACTTCATATGGAGAAGGCACATCATTGGCTGTGGCATCCATCTTGGCTATGACGATATTTGAGTCTTTGCTGAGCTGTTAATAAAATAGGTTAAATGTTTAAATTCCAAGTTTTCAGTGACTGAGGGACACTTAGTCAATTCAAGACTTAATCTCATTCTTCAAACACCCAGATAAACTGCTGTTCAGGTAGGAAGAGTGGTTTGCAGATAGTAGTACCTCACTTTACACAAACTTCCCTTTTTTCTCTTGTATTAAGACACTACATATTGCCACCTTCAAATTTACCTTGTCTGAATAAGACATTACAAAGGCTAAGCCAAATGTTTCAAGATGAAGGACCATATGGATTCATGTAAGCCATTAACAAAATTCAGAAGTTCTTAGATTTTTTTTTTTTTTTTTTTTTTTTTGAGACGGAGTTTCGCTCTTGTTACCCAGGCTGGAGTGCAATGGCGCGATCTCGGCTCACCGCATCCTCCGCCTCCTGGGTTCAAGGCAATTCTCCTGCCTCAGCTTTTGTATTTTTAGTAGAGACGGGGTTTCACCATGATGACCAGGATGGTCTCGATCTCTCGACCTCGTGATCCACCCGCCTCGGCCTCCCAAAGTGCTGGGATTACAGGCTTGAGCCACCGCGCCCGGCCAGTTCTTAGATATTTTTAACCATAATCTACATTGAGCCTGAGGAATGGAATGTTAAAAGCGAGTATCTCAGGTGCTGCACAGGCTGGAGCACTACGGTACAGTCAAATAAAGTGAGTAAACCGTAATTGGGGAAAAAAAATCTATCAGTACTTAGGAACTAAGCAAATTAGCCAATGCTGAACATATAAACTTACGGCTCCCGCTCAAATGTTATCCTCAGAATAGGGTTCACACTTACCTTCTCTCCAAGTTCTTTATACTTGGGCTCCAGATTCTTACAGTGACCACACCAAGGGGCATAAAATTCAATCAGCACATCTTTATCTTCATTATTCACTATTTCATCAAAATTCTCCGCTACCACTACCTGAAAAACACAGAATAATCTCTGGTTGTAAGATAACCTTAAAAAAAATAAGTTCACAAGCTGTATTTGTTCCTAGACCCAATCCCTCTCTAATTTGATGTGTTATCTAATTTGATGTGTTAGAAAGTAAGTCATGGAAACCCAAATCACATTTACAGATTAAAGATGTTGCCATTCACTAGATACCAACTTGCTCCTATGTTTGTCACCTGTCAAAGTATGTTCAGGAAGTTACAGGACACAAAAGTGCTACCCAACCGTTCCCTAAAATAATTTCAAGCCAGGCATGGTAGCACATGCCTGCAGTCCAAGCTACTCAGAAGGCTGAGTCTACATAGTAAGACTGCATTTCTATAAAAAACATTCAGAGCAATACACTGTTCTTAGGGATTGCTCTATCCTCATAAGTTAGCCCAATATAAATTTCATCAGAAAGTTCTATGCAGGCTTTATACACTTTCCCTTACCAAGCATTTTGAGTCCTGCCAATGCTTATTTTATGACTCAGGGAGTGAGGACAAAAAAAAGAGAGAGAAAATGAGAGGCAATTGCTCATAGCTTAATAAGGTTGTGAGCACCTCACCTTTACAGGACCATCATTGCTCTCTGGGATAGGTTCAGACTTAAGGTATCTCTTCAGATTGCCATCAAAGTAATCCTGCAGGAACCTCTCCAGAGCCTTGCCATCACGCCTACAATTGGAAAACAAAGGTGAGGCTGGTTAATTTACTCCTACCACTGAGAAGATTAAAAGCAAGTTCTTTGAACAGTTACTATGTATTTTAGTTTTAATTTCAAGGCAAAAAAGGGAGAATTCTTATCTCTCAATATGCAGAACTGACTGAACAAACTGTAACTTTTGTTTCTAGTGTGTTCTTTGTGGATTAGAAAGTTCAGAGAAAGAAGAATCATTTGTCTTTTGGAGATTGATTTTTGTAAAAGAACCAGATCCTATTGCTCTGGAGTATAGTGTGTGTTTACAGTTTTTTCTTTTATAGACTGGCTCACAAGGAAGATTTTCTCTTGTCTCAATCTCCCAAAATCTCAAAGAGTGAGGATAAAAATTGTTTCTGGAGTCTTAGGGTCTTCCTGATTCTGAACTTACTTTAGACCCATGTAGTTTTTTTGTTTTTTTTTTTTTTTAAAGACGGGGTTTCACCATGTTGGTCAGGCTGGCCTTGAACTCCCGACCTCAAGTGATCCGCTCGCCTTGGCCTCCAAAGTGCTTGGATTATAGGCGTGAGCCACCATGCCTGGCTCACCCATGTAGTATTTCAAAAAGAAAAGACATTCTGTAGGGATGAAGGGGAAAATGGTTTGGTTTCAAATTATATCAGTAAAAAGGAGGTTTTCCAATCTTTTTTTCGATTTTTAAATTTTTTATAGACATGGGGTCTTGCTATGTTGCCCAGGCTGGCCTTGAACTCATGCGCTCAAATTATCTTCCTGCCTTAGCCTCCCGATGTACTGAGATTACAGATGTGAGCCATCATGCCTGGCTCAAAGGAGGCTGTCCAATCTTCTTTCTTTTCTTTCCCTTCCACCCTCCCTTCCTCCCTTCTTTCTTTCCTTTTATTTTTATTTTTATTTTTTTTGAGACAGAGTCTTGCTCTGTCACCCAGGCTGGAGAACAGTGGCATGATCTCAGCTCACTGCAATCTCTGCCTCCTGGGTTCAAGTGATTCTCCTGCCTCAGCCTCCCTAGTAACTGGAATTACAGGTGCACAGCACCACGCCCGGCTAATTTTTTTTTTTTTTGGACACAGAGTCTTGCTCTGTCTCTAGGCGCCAGGCTAGAGTGCAGTGGCATGATCTTGGCTCACTGCAACCTCCGCCTCCCAGGTTCAAGCAATTCTCCTGCCTC